TAATTTTTATACTCATCTGCCTTAAGTTGTGTGTTTTTAATCAACTCATCTAATGTTTTGTTGCCACTAGTCCATCCTTCAGTTAATAGCTTTGGATTGCATGATTGACACCATGCCCAATTAGTATTATATCTATTGCAAATTGGACATTCTCCATGTTCTTCTTTTCTTTCCTTTGAATATTCATCATTATTTTTGTTAGTAGAAGTATCATCAGGATGCTTATTTTCATTTAAAGCATTTTCCATTTTTAAAAAAATTTATTTGTATTTTTATAATTTGGGGCATACTGTACTGGTATGATAAAAATGGGGTAGAATTTTAATTTCTGAGGGTCTATGTGTACGTGTTTGTCGATCAAATAATATTTCTTTTTTTATTTATTAAAAATGTCTTCCAGAAAAAGAAAAGAAAAACAAAAGACTGATATTGCTAGGTAGGTGGTTTTGCAATTATATACAAAGCTACTTGGTTAAATGGTAAGAAATTTATAAATGAAAATAATGAAAAAACTAGTAAAGATTTACTTGCGGCATTAAAAAAATTACATGGTTCAGGAAATATTTCTGATAAATTTCTTGATGAGGTATTAGTTTCAGATTTTTTAAAATATTATTGATTATTATTGTTGTAATTAAATATTTGTTTGTTTTTTAGTTCAAAAACTATATAAATTTTCATAATAAAGTAAATTTAATTCATATCTATGGATTAACACAAGATCCAATCACAAAAGAATATATAATTGTAATGGAGTATATAAAAGATGGGAGTCTTCAAGATTATTTAAATGGGTTCATAAAATCAAAATCCTTGAACAAATTATTGAAGGTTTAAATAATATTCATGAAAAAGAAATCATTCATCGTGATTTCCATAGTGGTAATATTCTTCAAAGTGATATTTATTCATATATTGCAGACTTAGGATTATCATGTCCAGCTAGTCAAACATCTGCATCAAACAACAATGATATATTTGGAGTACTACCATATGTTGCACCAGAAGTTTTAAGGGGGAATCCATATACAAAAGCATCAGATATATATAGTTTTGGAGTTCTGATGTCTGTAATATCAACTGGTCAACAACCATTTAATAATTTGGCACATGATTTAGACCTTGCAATAAAAATATGTGAAGGTGTAAGACCAGGATTCTCAAATGACACACCAAAATTATATATTGAACTAGCATTCAGATGTATGGATGCTAATCCAGATAAACGTCCAACAGCCAGTGAAATTAACAGTATTATTGATTCTTGGCCATTAAAAAAATTTAATGAAATGGAAATAAAATTTGGTCTTTCAACAATTACTGCAACAATTCATCCAAATGCAGTTTATACTAGCAGGTTATTAAAATTTACAAACCTTCTCCAACCTGTGAATACAAATAAAGTGACAATTATTGGTGATAATAATGGTTATTTACATTTTCATTTTTTATTAATTTTAAATCTATAATTTTAAATATTAATGATAAAATTTTTTTTAGATTCTCGACAGATTGAATTAACTATACCAGATGAATTACCCAAATAAGTTAATTCTTGTCATTTGATTATATATTAAATTATTTATTATTTTACTCTATTTATTTGGCTACTATAGTTATGATATTAAATATCTTGAGAAATTAATATTTAATAATGATATTATATAAAGGCAATAACTTCTCACAGTTGTCATATCTTTGGATTTTTATTTATTTTGAAATTGGATACCAACTATATACATTCAATAATTTTGCTGTATAATTTTTGGTATAAAATCTTGTATTTCCTATGTTACAAAACTTTGCCAATTTGGCAAACTAAAATAAATAAATTCTTTTTATCGAAAAAAAAAAAAGATCAATGGTCAATTTATCAAATTTAGAAAAAAAGCAATTAGATAATTCTTGCGTTAACAAACAAATTGTTCCTCCAATGATTATTTATTATTCCATGATAAGTATGTATGATCACCCAATTTTCTAAAATAAATCAAATCATTATTTAATTAATATGATTTTTATTTTTTATTACTATTGTCAATATAATGTTACCTTGGTTTATATAAATATCTAGCAGTAAAAATACATCCAAGTATCACACAAAGCATGCCAACTCCCATATAGGCAGATCCTAAAAAAGGATTTTTACCACCAAGGAATGATCCAGTAGAAATTACAAATGACTTGGTTCCACCATATCTGGTAACAGGAAATTCTTTTTTTTTTTTTTAAATTTGATTTGGATATTTAATAATACAATACGAAAATGTATCTTTTTTTATAAATAAATTCTTTTTAAAAAACTCACTGTAATCAATTAAAACTTCATATTCTCCAGCTTTCAATGGCTCTTTTTCATTTTTACCGTAAAGCTTTCTAAAATTAGGTAAACCAGCTGTACGCATCCAAACTTGAAAAAGCTCGTCATTTGAAAGGTCAGGTGGTGGATAATCATTTGTGTAACTACCATTAGGATATCTATCAACCCAATCAGGTGGTGGCCGTATTTGACCATAATCATAAGCCGTTTTACCATATTTTTGTCTATCGGATGGCCATGCTATACCGCTTTGTGTAAAGTTATATGATGATCCATCATTTAAAAGTGAGAGATTACTGATTGTATCTAATTTTTTTAAAAAAATAATTACATGTATATAAACGTAAGATTTTAAAATTCCAAATAAATAACGATTTAACAATAATTATATTTACCATTGAATTGTGAATTGGCAATTAAACCACAAGGATAGATCAAATAGCCTTCAGGCGTAACAGCCATTGGTTTACAATTAATTTGTAGAGCTGATTGACCAACAGCTAGACCTTTCAATTGATCTGCATCAAAACTTTTAACATAACGTCTATGATTTTGATAAAAATTTGTTAGCCGATAATAAAAAAATATTGGAGGATCCAATTGGTTTGGTATACTAAATCTTATTCTACAGCGCCAATAGGGTATTTGATTTGGATTAACATCCTGAGTTGGCAAATAAACTTCACGGCTCCATTTTGTTGATGCAACAGGTTCTGGATCAGCTCTAGGAAATGAAGCTTGAATATATCCAGATGGCATTGGTAAAAAGTCAGGATATATTGGAGCTGCAGAATCACAATATGTATATTCAACAATAAGTTCAGATACCTAAATTTATTATATATATATATAGTATGTGTATGTAACTAAAAAAATTTTAATAGAAAAATAAAATATTTATATATATTTTTCCCTTAAATAAAATTTATTTACATTATTGCTAGCCCAGAATAATAAACCACCAAGTGGTGCAAAGATGATTCCAACAATAAAAAAAGTTGGTAAAACAGTTTTTGGTGTAAGAATGGGTTGCCATGCCTTTAAGCGCTGTTGTTTAAAAGCAGTATCTAAAATAATCAAACACTTTTGATGTTAAAAACCAAATTAACATATTTTAAAATTAATAATAATTTGAACATGATCTTCAACCAACTAACTTGCAGGTTTACGGCTTTTTGTTTCTGGAGCCATTGTTTTGAAAAAAAATATTTGTTTAAAAAGATTTTATATGTTCAATTGTTTAAGAAGGGGTATTATTATAAAAAGAATGTCAAATAATGAACTTCCATAATTTTAAAAATATTGTGTGTAACAACTTTCTTACTCGCTTTTGTTATATATAGAAAACTTTAAAAAAAAATTATTTTTTTTAAAAAAAAGATGGGAAAGAAGGGTTCTTTGTTTGCGCATTTTCAAAATTTTGATGCATATGCCAAAACTCTTGATGACTTTCGAGTAAAAACATACTATGGAGCAGCATGTAACTAATTTATTGAAAATTTTCAAACTCTTGTTGTTTTTTTATTAATTAATTAATTTAAATTTTTTTTTTTAGTAACAATTTTAAGTGCTATCATAATATGTATATTACTTTGGTCTGAATTCATAGATTACAGATCAACAGAAATAAAGCCAGAATTAGTAGTAGATAAAGGTAGAAAAGAAAAATTGACAATCAATATTAATATTACATTTCCACATGTACCATGCTATCGTAAGTTGATCACAGTATTTTTATTTTTTATACTAATAATTATAATGACTTTTAATAATAAAATTTGCTCAATAGTTTTAAGTGTAGATGTTATGGATATAGCTGGCGAAACACAAAATGATCTGGATCATGATATTTATAAAACACGACTTGATTCAGATGGAAATCTTATACATGTTGAAAAAGCTCAAGGTAATCAATATCATTTATTTTCTCGTTTTGTTTAATTCCAAATCATTTAATAAAAGAAATTTTTTTATTATATAGATCTCGGAGACCATACTAAAAATATTTTACATTTGGTTAATAAGACATCTTCAGATAACGAAACTTATTGTGGAAGTTGCTACGGCGGAGATCCTCCTGAAAGTGGTTGTTGTAATACTTGTGAAGATGTTCGTGAAGCTTACATTCAAAAAGGATGGTCCTTTGGTGATACAGATTCAATTGAACAAGTGAATAATTATTAGTGATTATTTATTTATTGTTTGTTTGTTGGTTCATATATGATTATATATGCATCACCATGATATTTATTTATTTTATTTATTTGAAAAACAAAAATAAGTGCGTTAAAGAAGGATGGAAAGAGAAATTTGCCGCACAATCTCATGAAGGTTGTAATGTGGCAGGAAATGTAAGAGTTAATAAAGTTGCTGGGAACTTTCATCTTGCGCCGGGAAAAAGTTTTCAACAAAATCATGTGCATGTTCATGATTTACTACCATTCTTAAGTGATGGTACCGTTCATGTTTTTTCACACAAGATCCATCATTTAAGCTTTGGCCCAAAAGTAGATGGTGTAGTAAATCCTTTAGATGGTGTAGGCAGTGATGTCTATCAAGGTATATTATGAATCATCATCCAATCATCTACACTTTTATTATTTGTCGCTTATTCACTTCTTACCTTTTTTTTATTACAATTATTAGGCCATTATATGTTTCAATATTTTGTTAAAGTTGTATCAACCCAATTTTATTTTTTGAATGGAACCACTATTTATACAAACCAGTACTCAGTAACACAATATGAAAGAGATTTAACTGGGAAAGGTTCATCTGAGCATGTATACAGTCACAATTCAGGATTACCAGGTACAATAACAACAACAACAATAATAATGATGAGTTTTTTTCAAAAAAACCTCTAATTTAATTATTTCCTATTCACTTATCAATTAGGTGTATTTTTCAACTATGATATCTCTCCGATGTTAATTATTAATCGAGAAGAACGTAAAAGTTTTACACATTTTTTGACAGGTGTATGTGCTATAATAGGAGGAATTTTTACCGTTGCGGGAATATTAGATGGATTTATTTATAATGCAGAGAAAACACTAAAGAAAAAGATTGAACTTGGAAAACATTTGTAATTAATTTAACATAAGAAAAATTGCAATGCTTTTTATATAAACCTTTTAGTTTTTTTGTTTAAAAAGGCAATTTTTGAAAGGAAATTAATTTATTGCATGTATATAGAGTATTAGCATTAATTCAATGTTAATAATGTTAAAATGTTAATTAATTACTCCAAATTTTTTTTAATAAACTGGGGTTTTATTTATTAGAAAAAATAAAGAGGGTTAATCATTTATCCTTACTTTTCATTTATGTCGACTTGATCAAGTATGATAGATAGACCAGAAAAAAAAAATATGAGGGTGATTTCTAGCTGTGGTTAGGAACATAATAATAATATTTTCTGCGAGAAAACCATGATATTTATATGACAATAAACAGTTTCAAGAAAAATATGCAGGTAAATTTTAATTTTTTAAGAATCTTTAAAAAAATTTTTGAATCATCATTTATTATACGATGTTGGTTTATTGAATATTCTTTTTGAAGATGACGATGATTCGTTTGGAGGCAATTAAATTTTCTTATCTTTTTACTTCATTTACCAGGGATATGAATGAGCAAACATTTATGTGCACGGACGGACGATCAAGAATCATTAATATTAATATTTCATCTTAAATTTTTTTTTTCTGCCTCTTACATCCAAGAATATTGCACGGAGACGATACTGAACAATGCCTACGTAAATACTAGTTTATTCATCGGCATTACTGGATTTTATTCCAAATTAGACCCTTTTTGAAGAGGAATGCCGTATCATAAAAATCCGCAAAAGTTATAAGCAAAAGTCTTTGGCTTGCATTTACCTCATAATACGACTTTATTTTGACCTATTGAAACAAGATTTACGTTTTGTTTTTAAATTTCTAAAACTCGAAAGGAAATTACCAAGCTCAATATTACATACTATGATACAGATCATCCAAATTTTACTATGTTTTACAACCTCCTATAGATGTCCTGTGACTGTTAATCCAAGTTTTAAAATTTATCAACTGTACGGAATTAGGAAATTATAATAATAATAATAATAATAATAATAATAATAATAATAATACTAAAAAGGTACGTTTTGATTCCGCATATAAGGTACGGAATTGAGAAAATTATAATAATAAGGTACTTTTTGATTCCGTATATAAGGTACGGAATTTGCAACACACTGAATATGAATATGAAAAGGTAATTTTAATTCTGCATATAAGGTACGGAATTTGTAACATATTAGTACTAACACTGAAAAGGTTCTAGTAATAGTATGTTTTTGATTCCGCGTATAATGTACGTAATGTGTAAAATAACTATTTTATTCATTATAAATAATAAATAAAACGTATAAATTGTCTTTAACATTTATTTTGATCAAACTCGCCTATATAATTATCGAATAATTGATATACATTAATTTTGCAATCTTCATAGATCTTGATTAACACTTCGCCTATATAATTATTAAATAATTGACAATAATAAAACGTTGGTTAATTATATTACAAACAGCTTTGTAGATCTCGACTTTGATACTTCGATCAAACCCGCCTATATGATAATTGATAATAAGGTCCATTAAATATATTTTACAAACGGCTTCATAGATCTCGACTTTAACACTTACTTCGATCAAACCCGCCTATATAATTATTGAATAATTGGTAAACATTCGTTTTGCATCAATCGTCAATGACATCCTACCTAATCTTCCCAGACCAGAGAAGGCTACTTCCATGCTAGCCTACCTCTAGGGCAAGGATGGCAATCACAGGAGATTGCAATTCATAGTGGGGTTGGCAGCCCTGAAATTGCATTTGGGCTCTGATGTTAAGAGGAAAGTTGTAAAATAGTGTTTGTTTTGTATAATTATTTTCCTAAATCCTCTGTTTCTTTAATACTAACCAATTTATAACTTTGGGTAGGCCTATTCTACAGATTAAAATCATTGCATGTTTATATACATATTTGTCAGCAATATGGCCAGCAAGAAAAAAGTCATAAAATGGTTTGAATTTTGGTATGTTGTATAAATTAATCATTCCCATAAATTTTCTGTTTCTCTTTGATTTTTATTTGACCAATTGAACTTGTTATATATATACTATGTCATATTATTGTTATAATCGTTATAATTGTTATAGTTTATAAAATAGTCAGCCATATTAACATTATTTGAAAATCTGGAAAAAAATATAAAATTTTACAAGCAAAGCGTGTTTTTGATAAAGATACGGAAGGGTTAAGTAATTCTTTAGGACTTTAAGAGGAATTTCGTACATACATGTATATAGTCGTTCTATCTAATTATTGATTATTATTTTTTAAAACAAATATTCATCAATCAAGAATAACCACTTTACAAGGACATCTAAAAACCATTTGTTAAAATATTGAATAACGCTTTAATGGTTGGTTTATATCATCATTTATCATATTATTATTATTAGTATTAGTATTATTAATAGATTTTTATTGCCTACGTATAATAGGGTGCAAACCAAAAACCATCAACATTTGTTAAAATCGTTATTTAAATAGAAGTATCTGATTCCTACATTTATAATATAGATTAATTCATAAGTATATAAATTATTGTTATATTTTTTATTTAAAGTCATTTTTTATATATTTCAAACAATATAAAAAAAATTTTTTTAATTATTTAGGCAGCATTTTTTTGTTGAACAGTAGGATTAATCTTTTTCCCGTCCTAATTAATCATTCAAATAAAATTAAACATTATTATTAAAAAAAAAAAGAAAATAAATTAAAATAAATAATAAAAATCAAACCTTATTATAACGAATTCTTGGTGGAGGAGCACGATTACGACGGCCTTCACGAGATCTAACTCTGACTATGTGAGAATGGATGGCACAAGAAACACAATAATGTACTTTTATGTATAATTTTGGAAGTGCGTATTCTATTATTTTAGAAAAAAAAAATTAAAAGGATGAAATCAATTCTAAATGAAACATAAATTGATCGATTGATTGTTAACCATCGTAAACTGAAGCCTCTGTAATATCACGAATTGCGGCACTTTCTACCATGTTTCGAATAGAAAACCTTTTGATAGATTTATCCTATTTATTAAATTATTGTAATTTGTTATTTATTATTTATTATTTATTTATTAAATAATTATAAATGACGTTAATATTTTTGTTTTATACTTTTTTATTTTACCTTGGGTACACATCTGGCACAATTAGAACATCTTACTGGTTTAACGTGACCACGCCCATGTTTATTACGTCCATGATTTCTTCTTTTTGTAGTCTATTTATAAGATCATTAATCCATCAAAAGTTTTTAATTTTTAATTAATTATTACGATTGTAGACTTACCATTTTGACAATTAAATTAATATCTTTTTTTTTTAAATCAAGATAAAAATGGATGATAAGTTTGTGTTCAGTTTGTTGTTATTATGAAAAACCTTGCTTGTCAAGAAATAAAAACGAAGGATAAAAAAACTACGGTTCTTTTTTCTTTTACAAATTAAATTAAATCCAATTGGGCAAGATTGTTGATCATTTTTTATCCACATAATATTATTTTTACCAGGATCTAATGCTTACCATGTCAAAACTTCAGTCAGTAATTTAAAAGATCAAGAATTTGAAAAGGCAGCAAGAGTTATGCCTCAAAATACACACATGTGAAAGGAGAAGAAAATGTTGATGGTAAGTCTATTTGGTTATGATTAGCTATTTTTATTTATTGATGTTACTTGAAAAGGACTTCCCAATTAATATGTAATCATAAGATCTTACCCATATTATTTTTCCTCCAAAGATATTAGGAATTGTTCGTTTTCGTTTTGTCTTCTTTTCCCATTGGACACCATTTATTTTATTTTGAAAACATAAGGGAATTTTCTTACCTTGTTTTTTTTTAAATCCTTCTAATAATGATGTAATTCTTGGGTTCCATGATGAATTTGATGTAAATTAATTTCATATTTGTATTTTTATACAGAGATAATCAATCCTATGTATATAGGAATAGGCTGTTATTATCTTTAATAATCATATTACATTAGTAGCGTTTAGCAAATTTCAACATTTTGAACCCTGAAATTATTTTGCAGTCTGTCCCATATAAGGAAGATACTTTAATATTCTAAAATAACAGAAGCATATAATAACTTAAATTATAATTCATCATAACATTCAATGAGTGTAGTATACAAACGTGAAAAAAAGATTCGTTATTAACAAAAGAAATAGGGAAACAAAATCGTTCGACAGCAACCAGTTATTGGAAATTTATTTCTTTTTATGTAACATGAATCATGACATAATATGATTGATTACATATATATATATATATATATATAATAAATATTTACATTGCTATAATAAATTAATAAATAAGTAATAAATTATCTAAGAAAGTTTTATTTTCTTCTTGATTGATTGTGTATTAACAAAACCAAACAAGTAAATCACACAAGAATTATATTTTATTTCAGTTTCAAGATATACATCCATAAAAGGAAAACTTCTGGTTAAACAATCTGATAAGTAACTTTCATCAAAGTGATCTAAAATCCCATAACCAATAAATTTGTATTCAAGAAGTTTATCTTTCATTGGTGTGTCATTGAATTGGATTGAGGGCGATTTTGAAGAACTAAAGAATTCGATTGTGATAGAGCTTGAGAATGTTCTAATTGCTTCATAGATTAGATTTTCAATTGCTTTAATAAATTTCGTAAAAATTTCTGCTGCTGCTTTCTCTGCTAAATTCAATTCTTTCATGCTCATCTCAATATTAAAATAATCTAATTCTTTTTTCATCATTTCCAATGTTAACGTTTCATTGTTATCTACAAATTGATTTTCTTCATCTATTTCTCCGGCATTATCTTCTTTATCCTTGGCATTATCATCATCATCTTTATCAGTGTTATTATTATTGCTATTGTTACTATTCCAATTCCAATAAAATTCACCAGTACGATAATATTCTAAAATATAATAGAATGCTTTTGGATTCCTGTCAAAGAAATATTCATTATCTCTATGTGTTGGTTTTAAGAGTGATCTGTTTCTTGGATGAAACATTTTTCCGAGCAATGTGTCAGGTTGTGATAATAAGGTTGAAATTTTTGTTTCAAACTAAATATGTAGATATAACTTCTAAGTATATACTGTATACATGTGTATTTATAAATTTATCATATTATTATTACCTTTGTTCCGCCGACATTCAATATTACATTTTGATCTAAATCAGTTTGCATTTTTATTTTTAGTTGTTGAAAGAATTTGTAAAATTTACAATGAAATAAGTTTTTTTGAATAAATATTACACAGAATAAGCCAAAAATAGTAATATTAAACTTGGGTAAAAAATACGCGATATAATAATTATTATGAATATGCAATTATGGAAATCAATTAAATATTCTTGAACAGAGGTTTTTGTATTACATTTATTTCTTTTTTTTCATTGTCTTTATCGATGTTTGTATCATCCACAACATCAGGGTCAAATATTGTTTCAAAGATCTTGCTCAATTTTGCTTGATGACTCTTTTGATTATTTTGTTCTTCAAATAACACCTTTTCATTATTATTTGCATTAAAAATTCCCATCTTTTTCAAAATTTGATGATGCTTTTTTTCCATAATCGTCTTCCTTTAAATTTTCATCATTATTTTCATCATCATCATCATCACCAATAGTTTCAATATGTTTGATATTTTTACCATCATAAAGAAAAAACTTTATTTCACAATCATCATCTTGATTTGTATTATCATCATTAAAACCTATTTCTGCACTTTATAATTCAGGCCTCCTGGCCAAATCATGTAAATATTCCTGATCAAGCAATTTATTTGCTATTGCAACCAACCTTTCGAATTGTTTTTTATTTTGAGTTATTGCTGTATCCTTTTTATTTTTATCTGTTGATTCTGGTTTTTTTGATTTAAATCTTGCTTTTGTTGATTTCGATTATCTGAGCCATCAAAAGTTTTATCCTTTCATTAATGTGTTGTTTAATGCTAAAAAATTTTTTTTTATTAATATTATATCATATATGTATTTAATATTTTTTTCCAATAACATTTTACTTTTTTATTTTTTAAATTTTTTAAGAACTACCAACATAATTAATCAATCAAAATTCTATCATATTGTTAAACTTTTGCAATGATACTGTACCTTGACTTGTCTTTCAACCCACTTTCTAATCCTTTTTCTAAAGCGCGTTGATAATATGCATCAGGTACCACTGGTCTACATTCAATTGGATTGATCTTTGAGAAAGATGTATCATGAAAAGCAGGATGAGCGCATAAATATGATGTATGAATAACTACAAGATAATTACACGTGTACATCTCAGTAACTACAGAAATATAATTTTGTGGATTACAATGAAACTAATTTATCAAAAATAAATATACATATAAATTTATAAATTTAACAAACCTGAATCTCAACTCTACGAGGATTTCCAGTTAAATCACATGTAGTTCCATCACTCCAACGTTGAAACAAAAACTTTTTTCCTCCACCAACTTCTAAATCTGTACCTAATGTCCTTTTTTTTCATCAAAATTATTATCATCATCATCATTATTTGAAGGTGATGGTAAGGTTGCATGACGCGGATCATACTTTCCCAGAAAATAAGACTCACTACTTGTATCTTCAATTAGACTCCCAGCTTGAATTATTTGGTGAAACTGTTTCACATGTCTAAAAAATATTATATATTTAATGATGCTTAAAATACCAATTAGGTAAAAATCTAACACACACACACACACACAAATATGTTACCTCATATGACAATATTCATAAGTCCACCATCCATTAATCTAAATAATAGAAATAATCAAATTTTAAATTTGTGGGGAGGGGGTTTTTTTAATAATAAGAAAATCTAATTTACATAGTACAGGCAATTATCCAGCAAAGGCTCTAATAATACTAAACCTTTTTTCATAAGGTCAGTATTATCATCTTTATTTTCTTCAGGTTTATTATTTTTATTATTGTCGTTGTCATTGTTTTCATTCTCTTCAATAGTCGTTTGATTGTCAATATAAAGTATACTACAAACATATGATTGACCAGTTGATGTACGCATCATTATTGAAGTTGATTTTGATTCTTCAGATGATGATTGATCAATTTGTGTCATTGCCTGGACATTGTTGGGATCCTGATAAATGTTATTTAATTAAATAAAATACTCGTAAGAATCATAAAAATTTAATTTCTGGTAAAATCAACTGCTAGTACTTGTTCAATGACATGATTGTCAATCCTGCTACTTGGTATCAATTGTTTCTCTTGAAAAATGACTTTATATTGCGGATGTGCTAAAAGATCTTCATAAACCCATGAAACTGAAAATGCATTTGTGAATATAAATGTCGTTGATAATATTAATAAAAAAAATGTGATGTAAATGACAAAAATAAATTTTCCAAGTAAACTTGTAAATAACATTATTTTTTTATATACATAAATTTACCCCCTGAAATTATACCCGGGGTCCTCTTTATCACGCTATTACTATTTGATTGATAGAAATGTAATGTGACTACCAAAAATCAAAAAAAACTTTTTTAAAAAAAAAAAAGAACAATGGCAGCAAAAAAAAGTAAAAAAGCCACTGAATCGATTAATTCACGTCTTGCACTTGTCATGAAAAGTGGTAAATACACTTTAGGATATAAATCTACGCTTAAAACTTTACGTCAAGGAAAAGGTGAGATTTAATTGCATTCTGTGTAAAAATTTTTTTTTTGAATTGGTTGATTGATCGGTAACTAATTAGTTAACTTTTTATTTATTTATTTAGCAAAACTTGTTATAATCTCTGCTAATTGTCCACCATTGAGAAAACATGAGTTAGAATATTATGCTATGCTTTCAAAAACTTCAGTGCATCATTATTCTGGAAGTAAGTTTATAAATGATATTAATTTAATAATAAATTACCTCCATATAAGAACCCTCCATATAAGAACACCCTCTCTATAAGAACATATATGTTGGAACCAATTACTATTAAGCTTATAGAAAATACATCCACCTAAGAACAACTTCTCTATAACAACATTTTTAGAAAAGGTTACTATGTTCCCAACAGGGTTCTTATATGGAAGTATGACTGTAATAATAATTTTGTTATTGTTGTTGATAAATTTTGATTGATTATAGGCAACATTTCTCTTGGTACTGCTTGCGGTAAATACTTTCGTGTTTGTGTGTTAAGCATTACTGATGCCGGTAAATTAATCTTTATTATTTTGTTTTGATTTTTTTTTCTTAAAAATTATTATAATTGATATTCTTTCCTCCAATTAATTATTAGGTGATTCTGATATTCTTGCAACTTCTAGCCAATAATTTCATAAAATTTGTAAAAAATAAATGAAAAACTTCAAGTCTATACATATTTAATTTTTTAATTTAATATTAACCCGTGTAGAACATTTTACTCAAAAGCTAATACTAATGACTTGTAGAAATTCTCGAAATAAATTTTTTCTATTAATACTCAACACCTAATAAAAATCCAGTTTTGAGCAATATATGAATAAATATTTGAAATTGTTTAAAAATACTGGTTCTCGATATATTTTTTTTTGTCCAGTAAAATATCTTGCATAATATTAAAGAAGTTGAATGAAATAAAAAAAAGAGAAAATTTATAAATAAAAAGAAAGACTTTTTTAAGAAAAATAAAGTTTTAAAGTTTATGAAAGATTTTGAACGTGATGTTATTTATGGATTATGGAAGGACAATCACTAAGATCTTTACTGCTAAACCTTGTACCAGAGAGACCCAAATTTTGGATGAATGTGACAAAAGAGAAATGGTGGATATAGTAAAATAGATTAATCAGTTAGCTATTATGGAAGAATTGCAAAAAAACACCTTTTGTTTGTTGGTGAAAAAAAAAGACCCAATTCCATACATGATGGCCAAATTCTAAGAGTGCTGGAAGGCCTCCTGACACATTTAATAAAGATATGCTGGCAAGTATGATTCCACCTGTATATATAGTAATGATAATGGAACAAGAGTAAGTCAACAGTTGATGCAAGAACATTTAACAATATATGTCTAAATGCACCTCCTATTGAAATAAAACAATTTTTATCTTGAAATTATTTTACGTAAATGATTTTTGGATGAAGCAAATTCTTCAAATGATATTGGAACAAGGAGTTTGTCTAATAATAATAATAGTCAAAATCAAAAGAAAAGAAAAAATAACAATTGAATGATTTTATGATTCAACAAATATTACACCTCAAAACAAAAAAAAGTTGATCAAGCATTGACAAGAATGTTTGATTGTTGCAGATTACCCTTTCTTTGGTAGAAAACTCATTCTTCATTGAGTTTGTTAATCAATTAAAGCCTACATATAAACTACCTACTAGATTTAGATTTTGTTAATGAGGAAGTAGCAAATGTGAATGTAAAAGTTGACATTGAATTAAAACAACAAACCAATATTACTTTATCAATGGCAGATGGACTGATCCAGCTGGAAGATCTATATATAACTATGTAACATTGACTTCAAATGGCAAAGAATATTTATTAAATCTAATGAATTAATCTGAATTTTTCATATAAATGATTTTTTGGTTAATTAAATAGAACAAACGTTGATTCTGGAATAGTCACAGGTGAAGCTGGAAATGTTAAAGTAGCAAGGGAAGTTATCAATAAAATACCCAAATATCTTAAATTTAAGATGTATTTACACACTATAAATCTAATATTATTGATAAACCAAAAAAATTTTTATAGAGTTATAATTTTCTTTACAATTGTTTCATTTTTCAATCATTCTCACCAAGGAAATCATCATTGAAAGAAACAACTCAAAGATTTGAAATTTCAGGTGATAGTTTAAACACATATATTAAAACCAGACGGTCTTCTGCATGGAATTGCTTGAATTCTGTGAAAAGACTTGAAATGGAATCCTACAGTTATAACTAATAGAGATGTTTTGAGTTTATTACAACAACATGATTTTAGAAGTTGTTGTTTCAATGCAAGTTAATAATGTTAATTTGGCTGATTGCTTTGTTCATATGTGTCTGTCATATTGGTGCTGCAATTAAAAAAATCTTTTGAAAATCATTAAAAAATTATTGTTATGAAGTATATAATAAACGATTAACTGATTTGGAGAATATAATGGATATTTGTTAACATAATTTTTACACCCAATGTATCATGGAAGAGGA